ACTGCGTATTTGCAGTGATCGCACACAGGAGGTGAGGTCATGTGATCAGCTGTTTGCATGTGTTGCTAACCCACTCWGGGGCAGGGCTCGGTCCAGACAGAGACTCTCCCACTGGATTGTGGAGGCTCTCTCTTTAGCTTACAGCAGCAGGGGCCTCCCAGTCCCATCTGGTGTGAGAGCTCACTCCACCAGGGGTGTAGCAGCATCCTGGGCACTATTAAAGGGGTAACTGTGAGTGACATCTGTGCTGCGGCCAGCTGGTCTTCACCGCACACATTTGTTCAGTTTTATCGCTTAGATGTGACAGCCCCTTCGGTGGCTCACTCTGTGCTCTCCGCTGGGTCTGAAGTGCTGCACTAGCATGTTAWTATGACCCAAGCTGCTCTGCGGGGCGTTTATATATGTCCCATACACGATGTGTTGTACCGAGTGTATTGACTGAAAGGGAACGTAATGTTGTGCATATAACTACTGTTCCCTGAAGGAAAGGAACGAGGCACAACACATGGTGGCCCCGCTGCACAGCTGGGCTCGGTGAAGAGCGGTTACCGAACTAAGGAGTGACTGTGATGGCGACAGTATATATATGTGTAGGCGGAGCCTGACATCTGTTGTCATCACGTCACCTGCCTAAAGGCGTGATTAGAGGTGGCTTCAGCCAGGACACGCAGGGGCGTGGTTTCCCATACATGATGTGTTGTACCTCGTTCCTTTCCTTCAGGGAACAGTAGTTATATGCATAACATTTCGTTTTTCAGTGTTTCTACACACAGTCTCTGTGCAGCAATTAGTTAGTGAGTTCGGCTGTTAACCAAATCTTCTCTTCTATGACAAGATGAGAAACTGAAGTAAATAAATTATTTTCATTTTAAGTTTAATTAGAAGAACTATTTTGTAGGATGAGCTCCTGATCTGTTTAGAAATATTTAGAATCAAAACAAGTAAAACATCTGAGAGCTTTCTGGTTGGATAAAAGAGGTGTCCTGAATCAGACAAACCAGAAACATGGAGGGGTTTCTGTGTGTGTGTCCACTGATCACAGTGTGGTCTCCTAGCAATGTACATGGGCACAGTTTGCAACCTCCGTGTTACCTTCTCCCCTGCACATACCTGTGTTTAGGGGACCTCTAACTGTGGTAATAAAAAAGTGCTAACCAAATTAAATATTGAGAAAAAGACGAAAAACATCAGTAAAATGTGATGATGAGAATACTTACATCTAATCATCTAATCCTGGGTTAGAAACTTGCATTAAATCAACGCCACTCTAATCAAACATAAGTACCACTCAATTATTCACAAACTACAGCATGATGCAAGTGTAAAGTGGTTTATTACAAATGTCTAAATCTGATGCATCAAGTATTTAAAGAAAATAAACATTGTTTTAATATAAAAAAATCAAGCACATATTTAAGAGACTCAGTTGTTTACCCAAATTGCAAAGCTGATATATAATAAAGATGATCACATTTTAAAACAGTTTAATAGAAAATTATCATCACTGCTTATCTCAGACTTTTAGACTTAACTGCCTTTTTTAAATCTTTTTTTCCCCTTTGCCTGAATGGCACAGGACAAAAAAAAATTAATTACCGATTTAAAATTAGCTTTAAATGTTAAGGACTGTGTTCAATTTGAGCAGTAAACACTGTGCAGAAATGTCAAGTTGTGTTAGAAATTGATTTATTACTTTTTGAGGGAAAGTGTTCTCAGGAGAGGTCAGTGTGTTCCCGGGGAAATGAAAACTGTTTGAATTAGATGTCAACGCTACAGCTTTAGCCTCAGGCCAGCCAAACACACACAATTCCAATGTGTTCTCATGCTCACACAAACACACACAAACACATACAGTGGTTTGCAAAAGTATTCATACCCCTTGAACTTTTCCATATTTTGTCACATTACAACCACAAACATAAATATATTTCACTG